AATCCCCCACTCTTTTGACCCAGCCAGGGACTCATTCTTCTGGGGAGTGATGGGCCTAGCAGATGCAGGTGTGAATTATCTGTCACCTTGGCTGCTTTTCAGCTCATGTTTCTCCAGTGCCAGGTCCAGAGCCTGTGCTCTGACCAAATCTTTTGTACATGTGCCCCTTGGATTTAGAAATTCTCACGGTGAAAGCAGAACTGATGAACCACAGGCTTCTCTGCTGCTGCCTTTAATTAAAAATGCCATGTCTAACACCAGCAGATGTTCCTGCTATCGAGACTTAACTAATAATTTAATGCTGACTGTGCTGCTTAGTCTGAAAGTGTAATAGACTTCTAAAATTGTTATTATTTCCACTGGGGCTCAAATCCCTCAATATCTGAAATCTTAAAACTTGCTAGTCTAATGGCCCTAACCAATTACTGCACCAAATAATTAGAGCAGCCCCGTGTCTTTCAAGTCAGCACCAAATCCCACAATACCTCTGAAGGCCATGGTGAGCTCACAGGGCTTTGTGCACACAGCAGAAGTAGACCCAGAAGGGAGGGCAAGGAGCAAAGTAAGCCTGTTAAAGGCTTTGTTTGAGACATTTGGGCAAAGAGGGAATTCAAAGTGCGAGGCTGCTCCTTCTCCCTTTTTTTTTTTTTCTCCTTCTACCGAAGCAGATCCATCCTGTTGCTTGCTGTGGGTGCTTCGCGCATTGGAGCAGGGCACCGTTTCCTGTCAGGGGGCAGTAGTTTCGGAAGGTGCTCCATATTCAAGTGGATGAAAAGAGAGGGACCCCCTCTCACAGATGCTTTGGCTCTTTCAACCCACAGGAAAACAATTGACTCGTGAGAATTGAGGGAACTGCTTCCCCCTTCCCGCTCCTTCCCGCTGCACAATGAATCATGTAACGATTGTGAATTTATTGAAGAACAGCTGGGGAACTTTGCCTATGAATTAAGTATCAGGTACCGGTGTATTTACATAAAAGGGTCTTTACCAGATGGGCAGTGCTTTGAAATGAAGCATGAGGTAGACACAGAATTTCTACCTCCCTTATCAGCTGAGAAGCTGAGCCCCATCTGTCAGCACAGGCTCAGCTCTGAAGCCCCGCATTGTTTGAAAAACACATTATCAGTTTAGCATGGGGAAGATGATCGCTGCCTCAGTGGGGTGTGGAGCGCCTGCTTCATGCACATCCCAAATGTGACTGTCGTACTCTATCACAGCACTGCTGAAACCGCTTTACTGCCTTTCTGTCAGGCAACAAATTTATGTTAAATTGTGTGGGCCTTATACTGCCTGGAATGGCTTTACTTGTACTTTAAATACTGCATAAACCACATTTAGAGATGTATTTCTCGTTTCCCCCTGTTCTCTGCATCTTTTTTTTTTTTTTTTTTTTTGCTTCTGACTGTCCAATTGGTTGCAGTAATTCACTGCAAAGGAAGATGTTTCTTAGATTTCCAAGCGCGCCAATTCCTTAACCTTTATGAAACTAGGGAGAATGAATCACTTGTGACATTTACATCTGTCAGCAAGTATTAGATGCTGCCAGCACAGGGTGGTGCTTTGCCTCAGTTTAACTTAGCTGTAAATGTTTGTAAATTTGCAAGTAATGTCTCAGCACAATGGAGACTACGTGCACACACATGGATTTATTGAGAGGGACACTAAACATATTATAGCAGGAGGGATGGAAGATGAGGTACTTATCTGTTTTACTGTCCTATACGGTACATATCGGCATCTCATATTTTGTGAACATAAATGCCAGGTTGACTCAAGAGATCTATGGATCAAGTGTTGTTTGTAACCTGAGCTGAACACTTCAAATTGTGTTAAAGTTTCATCTTGGCAGCAAAGCCTTAGCCATCTTTGGTGCACCAGGCACTGGTTCTTTGGAGCACAGGACGATTACACAATGGCTAAGAGGGAGTAGGATGTGAAGGTTGCATCTGGCAACTGTTCTTTTTTAAGGGTAAAAGTAGTGTTTTAGCTTATTTTGTGAGTTTATCCTCGTTTTGGCACTGTGAGGGAACAGGTCCTGTCCTTGTCCCAGCTCCATCTGCTGCAACCCAAGAAAAGGAGCAACAGTGCCCTGTCCAGCCGTGTCCCTTGCTGTCATCACTCTCCTGCATCCAGATGTTTTTGATGCTTTCACACATGATGGGAAAAGGCACTGTGGAATGTGTCCAGCCCCCACCTTGCTGGGCTTGGGGACAAGCTGCCCTTGGGGCAGGACAGGGCATAGGGCACCTCTCTCTGCCTGCTTCCTCCTCCAAGATAAGCAAGGAGGATGCTCGCCTGCTGCCTGGGAGCATCCAGCACCTACACGTCGCTTAACAAGGTGTGCGGTTTGCATTTGGTTTTGTTTTACTTCCGTGCTCACCTCCGTGGCTGCTGTTTCTTTCCTCAGAGCTGCTTCCCTTCATGGGAGAAGGCCTGCCGATCCCCACCACTAGGTACAACAGGCCGTTAGCAAAGGGGACACTGCTTAGTGTTATTAACACAGCAGGGGGTTTCCTGAGCACTAGAAAACAACAGGCTATTACAGAGATAGAACTGTACTTTTCACAGCTGGATCCCAGAGCACGGATGCTGCTATTGCACTGTTGATGACAACAAACAGCCCTCCTCTCTGCGCCGATGAAAATGAGATGTGTGTGGATGGGGATGTCTACGTCCATGCCTCTCCCTCCAGGCTCTCCCTCCAGGCTCTGGAGGGAGATTCTGCAAGGAAATTCTTGTCCTCTGATTCTGTGTCATCTGCAAAGGACAGGCTGTTGGCTGACCCTTCACACAGATCCACAGCTTATCATAGATAAGTATTGGAGTGATCATGAACGCAGAGAATGCCAAGACGGCATTTGCTGGGGCCAAGCAGGTTAAGAGATATGACATCATTGACTTAACAAAGGCTGAATATGCCACCATCCAAGTTACATGATGGTGTTTTACCCTGTGACATGATGGCTTGCCCCAGATGACAGTAGCAAATTTTCCTACATCAACAGAACACGATTCCCCATCCTGTGCAGTGATGACCTCCTTGCACCTATGGCTAATATTAGTAGCAAAGTATTTAACTTTCCATAAAGAAAAGAAAAGAAAAAATCCCAATTTAAACCATCTCCAGTGTTGAGGGCTATCTGGGGAAACAACCGTCAAAGCAGAAGAGTGTGAAACCTGAAAACTGAAGAATCTCCTTGGAAGACATGGATAACTTGTTAATAAATGTTTTCAGCCCCTATTTAACACCATTTAAGTAGAAGTCCTTCTCTCTAGGTGAGGTAAGAGCTGTGGAAAATGCCCCTGTTGTCACCAGTGGTCAAATGAATCCCTCTTGTTCAGGATGCCATGGCAGCATCTTGCTGCTTTCACTTTGCCTGGTGAGCAGGGACAAGATGAAACCAGCCACCCGCAGGAAGGAAACGGAGGGATAGGTGGGATGAGAAAAGCCCCTGATATTTCAGATGGGAGGCTGGGACTTGCTCTGGTGGCTGCTTTCTACGACTGCTGCCAACCAAACTTTGCAGCTCCACGCCGCCACGTCCTTTTATGATGAAGTTCCCTCAAAGAATAACTCACTCGCTTTAATCATATTTGCTGAGATTTATGGCTTGATGCTTATTCACTTCTTGACATGAAATGTCAGTAAGCCTGTTATAAATAGCTCCTGGCATTCCTGCTCTATCTTTTGTTTGGCTAGGAGTATTTCTACCTGAAAGTGATAAATTCCTGCTATAACTGCTTTATGTACTTCGGTAATTACACTGTGCAGGGATGGTGGGGCTGTGTCTGTGGAGTTACCACCTCAGAAACAGCAACCTGTAAAGAGCTGGAGATTGGGCTGAACCCTGAGGTGCTAATAGGCTGAGGGAAAAAAACACTCTCAAAAAGTAATGGTGATGGGTGAAGAACATGTCAGACTGAAGGTGGTAAATGGGTGGAAGGAAGAAAATTAGATGTTTAAAGTTAGGGTGGACTGATGCAGAGGGTTGACCAATGTACAGGGGGGTTGTACAGGGGGGTTAGAGGAATTCACTTGTTTAAGCAAAGGTATCGTCTGTACCTATCATGCCTACTAAACAGAACAAAGGCACTAACTAATTGATAAGGAAAAGCAGACACTTGGTTCTATTGACAAGGAAAAGTAGACACCTGATTCTACTGATAAGCATCTATTGATAGGGAAAAGCAGACCCCTGAATCTACTGGTAAGGGGGAGAAGCAGATGGTTGATGGTTGGGACCAAACCCTAAGGCCATACGTGAAGACTAAAAGGTGAAAAGTTAAAGAAGAGGAAGACTCATTTACTTCATCTTGAAGACCCCTACCCACAGGAGGAAGACTCATTTACTTCATCTTGAGACCCCTGCCCATGACCAGAGGGGGCACTGCGCAGTCACAAAGGACCTTCTAGCTCACTGTAATACGAAGTGGGGATAGGACATGAATATGTATAGGCGTATGGTGCAACCTTATAAATGTAGAGGGAAATAACACTGGGGCACGCATGACTTTGAGGAATCATCCCCATGCGTCTCAGCACTGAAAAAAAAGCATACCTACTTTACAACTTTAACGAGTTGTGGAGTCAATCCGCGCATCAGGACCAGCACTGGTGTGGGGCAGGCACCCCTGCTGAGGGCAGGAGACCCTCAGCATCATGACACTGGGCCCACCTGTCCTTTCTGGGCCAACATTTGGGCAGGAGATGTTTGCGCTACATTGGATCTGTTCGTTATAGAGAAACAGGTATTGGAAAGATGTATATAGATGCAACGGGCTGGGGTGCTTGCTTGGTTTGGACGCTATTGAGTACTTCAAGCTGGCTGGCAGCCAACCGGCCATTTACCTCAGCCCGCCATTTACCTCGGCCCTCCCCTCGGGGGTGGCCCCGACCCGCTCCCGAAACGCGGCTTCTCGGGACGCGCATGCGTATTGGCGGGCATGCGGCCTTCCGCGCTTGCGCAGTGGTGGCAGGCGGGGGATTCGGAGTTGTGGCGGCGGCAGCAGGAGGAGATGCGGGAAGTGTTGCGCGGCCGCTCGGGCAATCGGCCGGTTTCGGGTGCCGGCGCTCCCCTCATGGCGCTGCCCGGACCCGCCTGTGCCCGCACCCGCGCCGCGCTGGGGCGGCTGGAGAGAGCGCTGAGCTGCTCTCGCTGGTAATGGTTGCCCTCCTTCCCCTTTCTCCCGCAGCCGGCGAGCGGAGCCGCCGCTGGCGCAGTGCCCTGGAGGCCGCGTGTGTTAAAAGTGCCATGTTTCTCCTTCCTCTGCATACAGCGCCGGCGTCCTGCGGGAGCCCGTGTCCCTGGGGCAGTGCGAGCACGTCTTCTGCCTGTAAGTAGAGCGGTGCGCCGTGCTCGGCCGCCCGCCTCCCTCCCTCCCCGGCCGCCGGCGCTTCGAAGGGTTTTTCAAGTGCTGGTTTAGGCTCAGGATATTGGTCAGGTTGAAGGGAACCCTCACTCTCATGGAGGTGTGTGGGGAGGTTGTCCACTCGTGGTGGGGTAGGAGGCAAAATTTCCATTTCTTGTAATCTCCAGCTTCTTCTTGCTCCCTTCAAAACGAACAAAAAAGAGCAGCCTGGAAAAGGGGGTTTTGGTGTGCTTGAGAGGATTGGTTGTTGCTTGTCATTGCGTTGGCATTCTGCTATGTTAATGGCTTCACTCATTCATATTTGTCACTGTAACTGTTCCTGTATTCCTGTCCATCCGAACATAAGAGCAGTTAGAAACATCCTTCCAGTGGGGCAGTTCTGAGGAGGCAGTAGTCACTTGGCCTTTCTTAGAACAACTCACTGCAACATTGGTACAGTCAGAGTCTGAAACGTTCATGCTCCAGAACCTCATATGGGTAAGCCACTGGGCAGAACCTGGCTGTCGTGTATGCCACTGCAGTTCATGGCATGCAGATGCAAACATGGGGAATTCAAAGTTCAGTCATATATCTTGAACAGTTTCTTTGGACAGTACAGATGTGAACTGTATGTTAAAGTCCTGGGATTGTTACAGTGGAGAGGATAGGCCCTTTCAAACTTATGCTTGTAAGCCAGTCTAGATAGTCACCTTTTCCTCTTGTTACTACTGTAGTCACTATGTCAGTAAAAGCAGAATGCAGTCCTGCCTTCCTCTCAGCATTGTATTCGCTCCCTGTCTTTGACTGCATCTTACTTAGAGGAGCTTTAAGTGTTGAAGGCCTGAAGAGTAAAATACTAGCAAAAGTTTTTCTTGCTTTTTATGGAGTAACTGATAATGGGACAGCATCCCTTTCTCTGGTATGGATATATTAAAAGATGGACAAATTTATTTTAATACAGACATGTGAGTTCTTTTCCAGCCTTGGCCATCAATTGCTTTAGAAGATTGTGCCACCTGAAGCAAATTTTGTTGTTTGTACTTGGTGACATAACCCCCAGAAGCTTGTACGAGCTATTTATAAATATATTTTTATCTATGTTATAAAATACCTTATAATTTATTTTTTTTCCCCCATGTATAGTGTGGATTGAGGGAGGGTAATGTAAGAGTGACTTACATACGACTGTTTAGTTGTTGGGCATCTAAGGCCTTGTGGTTTTATTTTGAATAACCCCCAGTGTGTTCTAGGTGATAGATTTAAAACACCTACTGTTTGTTGAAGGATTTTTAGTTATGCTTTTGTGAGTTTGGGGTTTTTTATTTTCTAAGAAAAAGAATTGATGCAGTTTGCAGTGATGAGGCTGGAAAGAGTGGCTAATATGAACGTTAAACACTCATTAACAGCTATTTCTTACTCCAGGAAGAGGGTTTGTTTGCTCTTACCAAGTTGCTGTTATGCCTTCTCTCTTCTCATTTGCATTCCTGACCTTTTAGTCATTAACATAATGTGTCCTTTGATGATTGAGTCTTGGATAGGGGCTATTTTTTTAAATCTAAGGAAATTTAGATTAATCTGTTTACAAGCAAGTTCGGTACAACATGGATTAAAGCTGCAGTATTCTGACATGAACTGATTTGATTCCAGTGCTGAAGACAGGCATTTATTAATATGCCCAAGAAGGAGTGGGGTGAGTGGCTGAAGCTGGCTTCTGATGTATGCAGTGAAATATGTGAAGCTAATGAACTTCAATAATCGGGTCACACATAATGTGACTGGTTCTCCCTCAGCATGGTTTGTATTATGGACAGGGATATTTATTAAGATCAGTTTCTGCAGTTTTGTCTGAGTAACTCTACTAAGTTAGTTACAGTCATTATCAATTAACTATAAAACCCCAGCAGCTAGATGTAATTAGGAAATGTCATGGTATAAAAGTTGTTCTGCTTTTCCTTTGCACTACCTGTTACAGATGGAAATCTGAAGCCAGCTTTCCTAGAGAATGAGACCTGGTTGGTTCTTTGCTCCAAGTGATTTGTCAATGTCATCTAGAATATATCAAAGCCAAGAACTGTACTTCAGTCTCCTGGTTATAGCAGTGTCTCTAACAGAAGGTCTTTTGCTGGTTAAGAGCAGGCTGGTAAAAGGACAAAACATACCTAAAAATTTTTTTACTTAGCAAATTTTCTGTCTTGAAATTAACTGAAAACATGATACTTTTGTGGTGCTTGAGGGAGAGATGCCAGCGTAGAGAACAGATCTGAAAATAACGCTTCACTTAAGAAAAGTGATGGTAGTTATAACTCTGGTATTGTTCACTGATACTAGTTTTGGGGTGAAAGACTGTCAGCTTTCAAGCTGACTATGTGTTAAGAGTCTAGGTGTATAGACTTTGATCTTCCTCTCCAAATAGCAGTGCCTTGATATTACTTGCTTTCTGTTCCTCTGAATGTTTAACATGATCTGCTCACATTTAACTTTATGCCTTTGGCTAGAATTGTGTGTGCTACATGGTAGTAAGGTAACAGAGATTTTTGAAATTAATTCAGTCTTGGGTATTTGAAATCATAAGCTGTGCTTAATAGGATAGATTGGAGTTGAGAAGTAACAGTGTCCCTTGAATGTTGCAGTTTGGGTGACAAATAATAAGGTCTTCTCACTAGACTAATCAAACAAGTAAAGGATTTTAGGCTCACATGGGAAGACAAGTATTACTAAGAAGCAACAAGCATTAAATGACCTTTACTGAGGAAATGTTTGCCCCCCACCTCACCTTGATCATTTCCTGATACAAATGCTCTGAAAAAGTGATGGAATACTCTGCTCACCTGCAGAAACTTGTAGGACTACTTGCAGAAAAGAGTTCAGAAATGTGAAACTTCACAATATCAAGAAAATTTTAAGTAAGAAAAATGCAAATGATAGTTTACTGTGGGTTGTCTTTCTGTTACTTGCTTAAAAACGAGGCTGCAGAATAGCCTTACCTTTAGCTGAGGTGCACAGTTTTGATACTTCAAGCCTAATTGTAATCTGGAGACAAAACAGCAATGGAGCTTTAGCATACCTTGAAAATTTGGATCAACTCGTTAGTCAGGGGGAGTTACAAGATATGTCTTCATTCATTCAAGATGACTTTCATTCAGTGTCCTGATGAGGCTCTGGGCTTGGCTTGCTTGATTATGAATTTTCACTTGCTGTAATAAATATGTCCTCTCCTCTATTTGTGAGTAACTCACCTAGGCTTTACAGTAGTGGTTTGTCAATGCTTAAATAAGAGATTCTTGCTGAGCATTTGGGTATGAAAAGGTTGATAGTGAGTACAGTAGATAACTTATGCTGAATAATGGATTATCACATTTGACTTTCAGATCTTGTGTGGGTGACTGTGTTGGCAGAGAATGCCCAGTGTGCCACATGCCAGCGTGGGTGCAAGATGCACAGATAAACCGTCAACTTGATAACATGATTCAGCTTTGCAGCAGGCTGCGGCATCTCCTTGGTGCGGGCACCTCAGGTAAGAGCAAATCTGGGTCTCTGACTGCTACTGGATCCAGACTGCCCTGTTTCATTTCACAGGCTTGCTAGAGAATGAGCAGTGCAGCCCTGTTTAACATTCTGAAAGGATGTTCTGAATCATGTTTGGAAAATTTGATTTGAAGAGAACTGTCTGTATGGATTGCTTGTTCTTTGAATCTGTTTTACTAAAAAATCCGCATGAGTGGCTTAGTCCATAATTCATTAGAATCTGTCTTCCAAAATTAGACAGAAGTGGGATAGATTCACAAGTCACGTGGCAGTTTGTTGCACAAACCAGGGGCACAAGTTGTCACGTCTTGTGCTTCAGGGGAGCACAAATGTGTAATGTTCTGCAGTGTAAATATCTTTGGGGGGGTCATATATGCTCTTGCCTTTCTTCCTTTTGTGCATTTGTGCACTGAGACATGTGTGCTGTCCCAGTAGTTTTCAGTTTAGGGTTTTTGCACATGGAAAAATTACTGTGTTTCTTGCCCAAAGGAGAAGAAAGCAAGTCTTAACTCATTTATTTGCTGGTCCCTACCAATCAGCTAGTCTGCTACAGCAGAATTTTGTCATTGCTGACTGTGCTAGAAGGTTGCAGAGATTGTACTCTGGGAATTCATCTCTCTATCAAATTTTAGGCTGATTGTCAAAGTAGGAAAAGGTGAAGTGAAATATCATAGGTGAATGTATGTCTCTTCTGTAAGCTCAGAGGACATTTTATATAATACCAACTTTTAGAAAACATTAATTTAATTAAGAAAACATTAAATTAGTGAAATAAGAAACCATTAATCAGATACAGAAAAGGTTATTTTTCCTTCATTGTTGCTTCCTAATATATTTGTCTAAATTAAAGATTCTTTTTCTAAATCTAATCCCATCAGCACCTTCATGTTCATTTATGGGGTAGCTTTTTATTGACATGAAAATGTATTTAAGTGAAGAGGCTCGAAGCCTATGTCCAACTCTAAAGGAATATGTTCTCTATAGATATAAAATCCTATGGTGATTAAATCTTCTGGAGGTTAGAAATATAGATGATGGCTTAAATAGGATTTCAGGGAAGCATTTGAAGTGGTGAAGGTTTTTAAAAACATATTTGGAAGAGAATCTCCGAGAGGAGCTTGTTATGATGCTATAAAAGTACTTGTAACATGGTCATATTATTGATACTATTTAGATGCTTTGGAAGACTTACAGGTGGACTATCTCTTACAAATCGGTCTGATGTTTTACTGCACTAGAAGTTGAATAATACACTTAATCCCATGGTTCCTCTAAAGTAAAGTTTGCATGATGTGATCTAAACCACAGAACAAATGAGGCGATTCTTCTCATTCCTTCTTCTGACTTAAAAGGCGCTAAACTTATGAAACAATGTGGAGGTTACTTTCCATAACTTGTAGTCTTTACAGTGTCTTAAGGATTAATGGCCTTTTGGGTATTTCAGACTGAGGTTGAAGGGAAAACCTCCCAAGTTGGTTATAGGTCACTGTAAGGAATGTTTTGGATACCCAAGGATATGGGCATGCCCCTTAGAACAGCCAGTTATGTGCTGCACTATGGCAAATCACAGAATGCTGTAGCTTTAGAGATTTTGAGAGCAAATCTGTTTGATATTTTGTCACTTATCTCTGACAAATCTGTCACATCCCATAGATGTATGTCTTGAGCTTGATGTATACAAAGTGAAATATATTTAAGTTGGGAGAATCGGGGCATCTCTTGCTAAGGAATTGCTTTCGTGTTCTATAAGCACTGTATTTTTGCCACAATCCTGTCAACAGTATTTTTTTTTGTTAGAAGGTCAGAAAATGTATTTTCTGTTCCAGTAAAGAGACTGAAAAATCAATGTCTGTGGAAGAAAGGAAGAGAAGCAGTTGAAAAAGGAATATTTCCATATACTGTTTTATATACCTTTTGCATATTTATATGTCCTGTTTTGGAATAATTGTGGCTTGTCTCAAGGGTCCTGTTTGAGATCCTTGTTGACACTGAGGTTTCTAATACAAATGCACTGTACTGTCTACAACAGCCCTAGTGAACACAGCAAGTGTGTGTGTTGTCTTTAAAAACCCACAGAACTGCAGTGACTGAAGAGGATAGGGTTAAAGTCACCTGTTGAATATTTCAAGTATAAAAATCCCTGTACCCTGAAATCCCACAGTAGATTTGAGAGGGATCTCACTGTACTCCGTTGGGATAAGCATAACTTTTTATAGGCTGTGTGTGCATTCTAAAAAGCAGCAGCGAGTAACTCATCAAAGACTGCATAAACCAGCTAATACTTCCCCTTTAAACTATAGGGAAGCACAGCAAATGACACTACAGAATAGCACTGGGGTGACTGATGGGGAATTTAAAAAGTAATTTTCTACCTGAAACTGGCTAGAAAATGCAAGCTATGCATAGCAAATGTTGAGTCTCAAAATTAACTCGCTTGTTTATACCCTTAGTCTGTGGCAAGGCGAGAAGGGCTGCGTGACCATTTTATTGCCTAGCTAGTACCTTTATGAGGGTAATAGGAAGCTAACTGCCTATCAGGCTTCATAGATGGGATGTCTGCACCTCAAAACCCTTAGCTCTAATTTTGCAGCATCCAAGCCATCTTGAGAACTGAAGTTGTTGGGATGTTAAGCTTCATAGGTGGATAATTGGTTGAATTATGGACATAGTGTATAAGTATAGTTGAGGTGAAGGAAGCTGATTTACAGTTGTGATTTTGCAAGTGAATTTCTGAATGCTTCAGTAGATTTTTCTATGTTGTGTTCTTTAAAAAGAAGAGATTGTTTTAAATATTCACAACAACCAGTTATAGATTATTTTTACCTTATTTATAACACAATCTGCTTCAGTCAAGTGTTTCCTCTCCTCATACAGAGCTAGATCTTGCAGGTGTTGGTCAAAACTTCCTAAGATCATGCTGTTGCAGGTGGACAGCGGGAGAGGTTAGCTTTTGAGTAGCCTTTATAGTATCATAACTTAGTTTCACATTTACTGATGTGGAAGGAAAGATGTTGAACTCCTGTTCTAACAGATTACATTGTATTTCCATGTATGTTATGACATTTTTCATAACAGCTAAAGATGAGGTTTTGAATGGCTGGAATTTCTCCCCTTTTTCCTCGTGTTGAATACTTAACTTGCAAAATAATAATTCTTTAGTGAAGGCACTAATGTTGCACAGATGGTACCAAAGCACTTCCCTTTGATTTTTAATAAGGGACTAGTTTGTCAAAGAGATTTCTCAACTTCTCTTCTGAAACCCATAATAGAGCATAATTCGGAAGGCACACAATGTGCATCATTATAGTCTTTTGATGCAGATTAATGATAGCTAAACCACATTTTCTAATTGCTCCTTTTTTTTTTCCCTGCTCTAGCCTGTTACTGCACTACAGCAGAACTTAAGAGATGTAACTCTGTAGTTGCAGGGCACTGTATTATCTCCTAGTATTTTTGTCTACTCTCAAGCCTTTGAACACTTCAGAAGTTCAACTCTGTTAAACGTCAGCATAAAAAAACTTTTGCTTATTATGTGCAAATCAGTAATTTATAAAGAATTCAGTTACTATTTTATGTATATGAATGTTATATTTAATAGGTAATGGAGAGTAAATTTACTCCATGTATTATAGGCTGATTCCAATACTGTTGTTGTGAATACTCTTTACACTATTGCAAATGCTTAAAATCTAGAATTAGCAAGGCATGTTTTACTGATCTAGCTTGTCTCAATGCATCTCTAAAAATTTTGGGAGGATGCTTCTTAGGTATTAAAAAGACAAATCTTAATCACATACAGTAGTTTTTTTCATTCCAGTTGAGACAGTCGTTGGCTTCCAACTTGGAGACAACAAAGAATTCCTTTGGATTGATTTTTTTTAAAGAGCAGTTTTTCCTGGAGGTAGTTTAACTGACTGTACTTAGCTACCAGATAATAACCTCTTCATATAAATTAGCATTTACATAATAAGCCATAAGAACTTCCTCTCAGCTTCTTAGCTCCTCTCTCTCTTTCACAGCACTGGGTGCATCAAAGGATTAAATTTTCAGGTAGTGTAGATTGGCCATTTGTCCTTATTATTTCTACACCTTACCTTGTACATTTTGGAAATGGAGGAAAAGAGCAGCAGAGGCTTAAGAATAATGTTTTTTTGTTGTGCTAGGCAGAACTGTTCAGGTAAAGTTGATGTTAGCTACAGAGTATTCCGACAGATGGAGTCATTGAAGAATAGCTGAGACATTTTCTGCCACTCCCTGGCAGAAACTGCAGTTTGTCCCCCAGTAGGCCATGAAGATGCTCTGTGTGGCCTCTTGATGTGACAGATCTCTTCCACAGTATGCATGGCCTTTTAATCATATTCTTGGAGTGCCTCCCTGTTCTAAGACATCCAGCGTATTCTTATACCTGAAGTAGTTGCATGTGAGGAAGAATAATCCTGGGAAAGTATTTATTTCAGCAGGTTTTTAATAACCTGACTAGTAAGTCCTTGCTGAGGGACCAGTAATGAACAATCACTTTAAGAACCCTTGTGGTTAAATTCTCACAAGCTTCCTTGCTGCCAGAAGTGGCATATACATAGCTTCCAGTGTAAATACTTCATTGTGTTATGCTGCTTTAAATCATACTTCTGAAAGACAGTGCTTTTAATTGAATTTGTCACTTGGACTTTAAAGTCTTACTGTGCTATGCACATCAAAGAGAATTCCAGCCATCGCAAAATTGTTGCTTAGACTACTTTTGCAAGCTGTTTTTATTCTACTCTTTACTTGGAGATCACTGATGGTTCTAGCAAGGTAAATATTTTAGAAGGAAATCTGCTAGTTGTGTAAACAGTGAAGGCAAGACAAGTAAATAGTAACTGTGGTTTATATTTTGCATCTGTAATCAAGTTCTTCCTTTTTTTAGATGTGATTGTCAGAATGAAATTGGATAGGATGTCTTTCTGAAGGCTAGCTAGTTATGAGATTTCAGTCTCAATTTCAGTGCTTTTTTTTATCTCTGCACCAAGCCCAGCTCTACAGAAAAACCAAATAGCTGCAGTTCTGTACTAGGTTATCTTTAGATACCTAAATGATTGATTAGCTAGCCTCAAGCTATATTCTTATAGATACTTTTGGTCTGATGCCTTACTTACAGTCTTCTAAGTTATATCTCCTGATATGCAGAGTATTTTAATTCAAGTGAGAAGTAGGGTAATTTAAATCAAGACTGAGGAAACATTTAACCTTGAAATACTGCTTTAAAAGAAAAGCACATTTATTTTGGTGTTATTAGCTACACAGTTCTAAGTGAGACTTCAAGCTTCTTTTTTTTTTTTGTGGCTAAGGGATTGGGACTACTCTGCTATCTGTGAGTTTGTCACAGCTTACTGTGGAAAACAGGCTATAGTTACTAACACCACAAATAGAAGAGAAGGTGTGGAGAAAACAGATTATCTGTAGAAAGTTAATGCACTGAAGTGAAAGTAATCTATTGTTGCAGTCAGTGTCTGTCACTTTTAATAATCGAGACTTTGTATAGTTTATTTCAAGAATGTTTTAATCTTGGTCTTAGTTCTGTTTTAAAAAAAATATCACCCCACTTGCCTCACCAGAAAAAATTTTGTGTTTGATTACTATAAATTACCAAGACTTTTGTGAATGGTGGTCCCTGATGCTGGAGGCAACAGGAAGAGTGAGTTTTGTGTTGACTCTGGAGGCCTCATCCAAGTAATCTAAAATAACTTCTTGAGGAGGAGTCTGTAAAAAATCTGTTAGTTCTTTTGCACTGAAAGAATTGTTGTGAAATTAATGTCTAACTTAGATCACTTGATGTTCCTTAATTTATTCTTAAGCCATTGAGAACACCATTTATAGCCCTTGGGCTCAACTGTTATTTCATGCACTGGGAGTACAGGATATTCCCCTCTCATCTTGGTTATTAATTTGTAATTTTCTGGATAATGTGACTTATAAAATTGCTTCACCACATATTTTAAAAAAATGTTTGAGATGATCAAAAGGTTTAGTTCTGTTGGAATTATTTACTACCAAAGGGTAAAGGATCCAATGACAAGACACAATTACTTTGAGTGGTTTTGTCTATATATTGCTCTGATTCATCTGCTGTATCTGTGGAATCAGTCAGAATTTCTCAGGAATGTTCAACATTCTTATAAGGATGTTATATTTGCTTGCTTGCTTGCAGTTATTCTATCCTGTTCATCTTCAGATCAGCTGTAATATATTTTTTAGAACATTCTTTCTGATTTTTTGTGTATGCACAGACCACTTTGTTAAACCTATTTCTGAGGAAACCTCAGTAGGAGAACCAGCTTCTCTCCTTTCTCTAGCCTTGGCAGAAATCGGTGCGTGTGCTGTGTTGTGAACCTGAACTATTGAAGGAATTTCTCTACCAGAGTGCTCGCTTGCCTACTGGGTAGCTTTAGCTGCACTGGGATCTCTGAGCTCCAGAGTGGCATGTGACCTTGCCAGATGTTTTAAAGCCATTACATGTGTCTTTTTCAGAAGAAATGAAGGCACTCATAGGTTGCAGTTAGTAACACCTCATCAGTTATTACAGTTATTCTGATTTCTTTTAATCTTTGCAATGTTCTACTGAAGAGTACTCTCTAAATTTTTCCTCTTCCCTGCTGCACTTAGATTCGACAGACGGTATGTCCACACCGACCAACTCAAATGTTGGACAAAAGAATAAGAAGGAAAAGATAAAAATGTGGTTCAGCCCAAGAAGTAGGAAGATTCGATGCGTTGTGAATAAGAGTCACTCTAAGACTAAAAGTGATGACATTTTTCAAGATAAGTCTTCAGTTTACGATTTCATTTCTTCCCCTCCCCATGAAAAGCCCGCCAACCTGATAAAAAAGCCAACACAGAAACAGAGTAAGAAGATGAAGAAGAAACATCTAGCAGACATAAACAAAGTGTGGAGCTTAGAGAAGCCTGAGCAAAAAGGAAGAGTTGAAGGAAAGACTCCTAAGGAGAAGTGTGTGACCATCTGCAGTCAACCAGTAATCCTGTACACTTCAGAATCAAATAGCCCTGAAGAGACAGTCCAGCAGGAGGCTGTAAAGGAAGCTGACTCCAGCAGAAACACAGAAAATGTGGAAATACTGCCACAGGTAAAATCCTCAGGAAACAGATGTAACGGTGAGGTTGTGTGCCTTCCACAAGTCAGCAAGGAAAAAAATTGTAGTACAGAGACATCGCTGTCAATAGAAAATGAAGCTATGCCTTTAAAACGTGAAAGGGAGCAATCCAGACTTCCAGTTGCTTCTCAGTCTAAAAGACCAAGAAGAACTGAGAGGAGCATTATTGGGAAGCCAGTCAATCAGGCAGATTGCTTAGAGGAGTTGCCTCAGGGTAGCCCCATCTCCCCAGTGACTGAACACAAGACACCAGTTCAGGTTTCTTCCCCTGTGTCCAAACTCACTGACACCACCATGAAGACACGTAGTTCTGCAGTCTCTCAAGCAATAAACAGTCCTTCAGAATCTCCCTCTACCCCATCTACTTCTAAGACTTGTCATCAAGCAGAAATACCACACAGTCCTTCTGTGTTCAAGTTGCCTGGCGGTAACACAGTTGCCAGAAGAAATTACAAAGGAGAGACTTTACTCCATGTTGCTTCCATCAAGGTAGGATCATTATCTTCTACTTCAACTTTAAATAGAGGTTTGAAAAGACAATGTTGCGTTAAAAATATCCTGGAAACTAGTTACTTCAGTACATCCTATTTTTGCGGGGAAGGAGGGGAGGAAAAATCATTTTCTGGTCTTCTAGATTTATTGGGGATTTTTCAAACTGATTCTCAGATTATTATTATTATTTTTTTTAAAGAAATGGCTATTGGAATGATTGAAGATGGCTATACTTGAGAAACTCTATGTACTACAGTGCCTATTATCCCTGTGAGTTCTAGAAAGAGATAAGCATTCAGATGTTTTGGCCAGAAAGCTGTCTCTGTGAATAGTCATAAGGAGTTTAGCTAGGTGTTTCAAATCTTACTGAGTGATCTTGATCAGTTTAACTTGACCTGGTAACTCAGCCAGGTCATGAGCTGAATTATCTACATCAAAATAACTATACAACCGTCATTGACATTAACCACTATGTAATCTTTGAGATCCTCTCCCTGACGCGACTGTTGGCTCAAGAGGAAGAAAATGCTGTGCCCTGTGATTCCTATGCTGAGCCCTATGCTCTGAGTATGCTTTCCTCAGAGATAGCAGAGTTGGGAGATTTGGGACAGAGTTGGGATGTTCTCAGCGGAATTCACTTTTATGTTGGATCAATGTTATTCTTGCAGTAACAGCTGTCACTCCTTTTGCGGTTAAGTTATTCTCTCAGCCCGTTCCCGCTGTGGTAGAACATCATGGCTGTCCTTCCCTGTTGCTGTGTAAAAGCAGGCAGGGTAAGTTGAGTGCTCATAGCTAAACTCATCAGATGCACTAATGCTACAGCTCTCTTCTGAGAGGTCATTTCAAAGAGTTTGTAGTCTGGCAGTTTAATTGTACTTTGAGTTAAATCATAATATAGAAATACTGTGTGGTTAATAACCTACCTATACTGGAAGGATTGATTCACCTATAAGCATCCTGACATTTATATAGCACTTCTATTTGTGGAGACAAAGGCTGGTCTTGATAACTGTGTCCTCTTTCGAACACAGTCTGTTAAGCCACTCCTGCTGCACAAGACCTTTTTAAATGGATGTGGCAGCTGAACTGAGTTCAAATCTCATACTTTGTCATTAATACAGAATGAGGAAATGAAAATGAAACATTGTCCACACAGGACTTAAGAGCTTTAAAGGATAGATCTTTCCTCCCTTTCATCATAAGTCTTGCATATTTCTCTTTATTAAAGTACTGTTTACAAATTATCCTTCCATGATTTTCTGGGAATTTGTAAGGAATGCTATAAAATGACTGACTGGTTCCAAAAAAGAAAAAATTATCTACCTTGACAGGTTTTCGCACAGGTATGGTTCCCAGCAGTATGTATAATATTTGTGTTCCAAAAAAGTATTTAACCTAAGAAAACAGATCATTTCTGCAGTGATACACCAGTAAAGTGTTTTTTCATTGCAGAGCATTTTGAAGGTAAGTGAGTGAAAATGAAACTATTCATTCTATAGACAAAAAGGATAAAGAAGTTTTCACTCTCCAAGTGGAGTGGTGTAGCTGGCAGTGTTACAGCCCTCTGAGAAAGGGATAGGGCCATTGCAGTGGGTTGAAACGCTGACCTCCAGCTGCAGAGTAGGCAATGGGGTGGGTGTACACATGAATGCTTTTTTTCAGTGCTGTCTGTGCATTAACTGTGGTGTTGTCAGTTAATGTTTATAATTACTGAGCTAAAATGGGAAGTCACTTCTGTTCCTTGTTAATTCTGCAGTGGTTTTCCATTTGCATTGAGGTGCTCATTAGTGAAAGCTTTTTTAACTAGGTAGGGTTTCAGGGTAATGCCAAAGTTAATGCTGTCTTTTACATGTAAATAAAATAAAGCAAAGAGAGTGGTTCTTTGGTTATAGTTGTAGTTTTTGTTTCCAGCTACTAAACTTTCATTGATTCTCTGCAATGGAAAGTTGTTTTTATGTCTCTGAACCTCAGTTTCTCATATGTAGAAGGTTATACAAATGATCTCCTTTCATTTGTGGTGTTCTTAATTCTAGTTATGTAGCTTAATCATGGGTATTCTTAAGAAGTTGCTCCATCCCCTGATAGCTAGTAGATGTAGGCACTGTTACTAATTCATGTTGAAGTGGATTAAGTTGCTCAAGCCAGCATGATGTGAGGACTTCACCTTGAGTTTGTGAGGTTTGGTAACCCTTTACTTTGTAAATCAGTGAGCAAGAAATACTAGTGTTTAATTTCCATGAATCTGCTGGGGATGTGTGGCAGTTGCAAGAAAACAGGTTTTTTGCATGCAGTTGTCTTTTGTGTAAACTGCATATTTCTAGATCACTCTTCTAAACCTAGCCCTGCTATGGAATGGGCAGATGTGTGTTCTCAAAGAAACTGCTCTGGAAAATACTAGGCTTTATACTGTAGGTATATTCTAATTGTGGTTGTGGGGGTTTTGTATTCTTTTCCAGCATAGCCCTGTTGTTTTTTTTTTTTGTTTGTTTGGTTTTTTTTTTTTTTTTTTTTTTTTTTTGTTGTTTCTTGAAGAAGTATTTCTCATCCAGTTTGGTTTTATGGGTGATTTTTTTATCTTGTTCTTTCCACAGCCAGTAATGTTTTTCCATGTATGTAATGGGAAACAGACTTGTAGCTGCTGCCTTTCCCCCAAAGTGAAATAAAGTCTTAATTCTCTGGGAGTTCATTAATTATGCAAATAAATCTGTATTATTTTCATTAGCTGTTAGGATCTAATGCCCTGAATTTAATTAAAGTTAATCGAGTTCTCTTTTTTTTTTGTTGTTTAAAAGAGATAATAAGCAACATTATCAGGCATTAAAATTAAGTGTATTGTGCTGTTTCAAATGATTTAGAGGGATTGTTCCTGTTTAGTACTACTAGTTATTAATTTACTGAAATCAAAATGGTTCTCAAGAAAGGTTCTAGTGTGCATGAACTTAAAGCTGAGTTAAATAAATGTGGCTCTTCCCATAGCCAACAGCAGTCATGTTTATTTTCCTCCATAGTCATTAAAGGTAAAACTTGCAATTAGTAAAAATACAAAGCATGACCTGTTGCACTCCTAATATTCTAAATTGGTGAGAAGATGCACAATCAACAGCCCTTTATATAGGAAATATTTTACACTAAAATAACAAGTTGTTCATAGGACTGGCTCTTAAGTGACAATGGGAGCTGGGGGAAGGCTTTGATTTTTATGGTTTGAGTTAGAAGCATTTAGAGAGTTGTGCCTGTTCTGAGGGAAGAAAAAGCCTCATCTATGCAGAGCATCTACTGAGTCTGCAGAAAGGGAGAAGGGACCCTGGAACCAGTTTTGATTATTTCCTGTTCCAGGGACCTTTTAGTTTTGACAGATGACCAAGGGGGCCTTCATAAAAGCTTCACCTGTGGCTAGCCTACTGTGCTGGACTCTTCATATTCATAGAATCGTAGAATGATTTGGGTTGGAAGGGACCTTAAGATCATTAGTTCCAAACCCCTGCCACATTCAGGGACATCCTCCACTAGACTAGGTTGCTCCAAGCCCCGTCCAACCCAGCCTTGAAACCTGTCTTAATTATACTTAACCGTGTAATAACTACTAGATAATTCCGCCAAAGCCTGTGAGACTGTTCTTCCTATTTATTGCTTTGTTACCAGTTAATAGCACACTGGAAAGGAGAGTGAAAGAACATTTTGTGGCTTTGTGAGCATGGGAGGGCAACATCAGAAAACTTTATACTTTTCTCAGTTGTTTGACCTGCTCAGCTGTGCATTTCCTCGCGTTTGGCACCAGATGGGTATGTGTTTTGGTCTCTCACTGGGTGACACATGTCCATGGGAGGGAAAGTCTCTCCTCCTGCTTTTCCACTTGAGCACTGAGGGGAGTTTTGCTCCTGTGCAGACGGACACCTCCAGCCTCCCCCAAGCAGTAGCCAGTGGATTGATGGACAGCATAATTTGTGCCAGCTGCTTCACAGTGAATGAATATATCCATTGATCCAAGGTCTTATTTATCCAGACCTTGTGATTTTTTGTGGTTGGTGACTTAGCTGTGTGTGTACTATCCGTTTCATTGGAGATGAGAGGTGTGCTGGCAGAAACTTGATCTCTAAAGTTGACTCTCTAATGTTAAAGCCAAGTGCTATTAGGATTGGTAAGCAGCCCTGTAGTAGTATCCAGTCAGTAGCATATCCAGTAGCATTACGATAGTATCCACCCGGTAGCATGACGTATGAAGCAGTGTGATGGTTACAGTATGAAAATTGGCTGTGAGTCAAGGCAATCCATCTTCCCAAGTGCTGATTTGAAAGCTTAGAAGCAAATTGCCATTTCTTTTTCAATAATACTTGGTGTTACTTCTGTTTCTAAGGTGGGTTAAACTTCTTGAGTCTTTTTTTTTTTGTTAAAGGTTAACACTAGCTACTTATATGCTTGTTAGTTAATAAATGGTCTGCTGGCTGGTGAATAAATACAGAGAAATTTGAGGTGAGAAACTTGTGGGTTCCTGGAAATAGTTGGTTCCAGCATTCACAATTACTGCAAGCACTTGGTAATTCGTATTTGTCTTCTTCAACCATTTAGGAGTTGTAAATAACCTAGTTTTCTTCCCTCCCCCCTTTCTGTTCCCCCCTAAAATAACTCAGACAAATGTATTTGGGTTTGAATGGCCTTTTCTGTCATTTGTTGACCTAAAAATTGAAGTAACTTTGTTACCTTTGCAAATAAAGAGAGAAGTGGTTGAAGTGGTATAAGTTTTTACCATCATTTTAATATACTGCCCTAATTCTTTGCACCTCTCCCTTTTGAACTGGTAGAATATGTTTGCATTAATTTAAATGGGACTTTTGGGTGGAAAATATGTACAGTTAATGGAAATAGTAAAGGGTAAAATAGGAAAAAAAACCCTATAGAATAGGGTTGAAAGGACGCTTAAAGTTCTTAACCATCTGTCTGCATTAAAATCATGACACAATTGACTTGGAAATAAAAAAAAAAGAAAAGGGCAAATCAAA